CAAAACAGAGCGTGCCCGCTCCGATCGATTTTAAAGGGTTAAACAGCCAAATCCTGCTCACCATTCCTACACACACCTTAACAGTGTCTTACCTCAGGAAACCTGTCTGAAGAAAATTACCATTGGGCACTTTTTCCCTAATCTCCTTCAGATTAGGGAAAAACTACTGTCTGCTGAGAGCAGATAAGACGTGAACTGTGCACTGACAAATGTTGACCCACCAGAGGTTACATTAAACTCTCTAAAGGGGCCATTTTAATCCTTAACGATCACCCTGCAGTAATCTGTAAATAATGATTCTGGTCTTCACCTGGAGATGAACTCCTTTCAAAGAACACCTGGACTGCTCTGATTTATTTGTGGCGTTGTTGTGATGCGTTTCTAGGGCCGAGCTCACCTGTGTGTATCCTCCTGTGGGCTTTGAGGTGGGAGCTCTTGGTGTAAACTTTTTTGCAGCCTTCGTAGTCGCACATGTGGATCCGCCGCCTCTTGACGTCTGGCGAATCTGGATCGACCGGCTCCAAGTCCATAACCGACCTGAGACACCGAAAGAGGAAAAGGACGATTCTGTTGAGAAATGCTTCTTCTTCTCTCATCACGTTCAGGAGAATTTAACGCCAATTTAGCCACCAGGGGGCATCAGAAAGTCACACAGCTCCATTTCGATATTCCTCCCCTTCCCTCTATTTGTCTTGAATCGTTTCACCTTTAAACTTATTTTTTACTCCCTTCTTTCCTTAAACCCATAAGATAAACTCAAAATTAACCCATCAGCACTCCTCTTTGTCGCCCCTTTTCTATCTTTGACTTCTTCCTCTTAAATGATGCTTCAGTTTTCCAAGAATCGGCTGTGTGAATTATCATATTCATATTTACAGGCAGTCAAACTTTAAATACATTTGATTGGAAACAAAAAGACAAAAATATAACACCGCTGATGTCCCTCTTTACAAGGAGGTGTGACGGTGAACTGCATTACGTAAGCTTGTTTATGCCCCTGCTCTGGGACAGCCCTGCCCTGCAACACACACACACAAACACACACAGAGAAAATCACAAATAATCTTCCTTAAACCACTTTAAAAGACACAAAATCCACAAAAGACACTTACTTTTGTACTCTGAAACACACTTTCTCTCTCTCACACACACACACACACTAGATAAGGACGCTGAGCAAACTGTCAACGCCCACACCCTGAATTTCAGTTAGTCAGGCAGCCTCGCCCACTGGGTGTGGCAGGAGCTACGTCCTGATTCTCTAATAAACACAGTCTCCAGCGGCACACCACCCTTCACCCCGCGATATAAAACAATCTTTCACGTGTCCACGCTTTCCTCTGGAGGGCTAAATGTCCTAATTTATGTCTATAGAGCGCTCGCGACGCACACATGCGCCCACTTGTCTTCCTGTGTTACAGTCTGGGCGTCTCCAGCGTGTTCTGCTGTACAGAGGGTTATATAAGGTTATATAAGCATCCAGTCATGGCAGCGCTGCAGTAATGTAATTAGTCAGGAGCCTGCAGGCGAGGGAGGTGACCCCCACACAGAGAAAGAATTTCCCATAAACCCTGCTGTGCATTAGAGTCCCTCTTGCTGACCCTGCCGAGTCCTATTATCAGCAGTCATTACAC